AGTGAGGGACATCATGTCTCATAGTGGGGCCGGCCATGTGGTCCTCTCTGTGGACTGGCTGCTCTAATCGGGAACATCGTCCTCAAGGCCTGGTGGGCCAGGATGTGCTCCATTCTCTCCTCCTCCCCCTTCATCTGCTCCTGTGTGCTCCAATCAGATACATCCCTCTCCCAGAGCTGCAGATTCAGTGCCATCCTTTGAAATAAATTTTTCTGGGGGGAGGAGCAGGTGTCCACGTAGTAGTTGGGATTGGGGCCGGCCCCTCAGCCTTCTCCCCCCAATTAAAATCTTATGGATAAGACTTTCTTCTGTTTACTTTCTGCTTCTACATTCTGTGTTTTGTTCTTCAACCTTGTTCTAGGAGTGCCCCATGTCAGTATAAACTGAGTCCAACTGGAGCACAGGCGAAGGAGGACTGAGGGCAGGGATGTGACACAGATTCTCCACGCAGATGTTTACCTTTGGCTTTGTAGTTGAAAAAGATTCCGACTGATGAGGAGGAAGGGTGGGCAAGGGCAAGCTAAGTAGAGGCATGAAAAGGCTTGGCAGTACATGAGAGATGTGACCAGGTTTGCCTCCTGAATAGACTTTCAGCCAGGTTGGAGAAAGAGTCATCTGAAGAAATTGGGAGAGGCAAGCTGTGAAGTTTAAGGGGTATTTTGCTAAGGAATGGCTCCTTTATTGCTTAGAATGTAGGAGCCAAATAATTTGTTATTAGAATCAGAACTGTATTTTTGAAATATAATACTGGTAATAGCATAAAGCCATGGTTTCCAAACTGGCTTTGTGGATTATGACCCATTCGCGGTTTGTGCAGTCAATTTAATAGATTTTTATGAGCGTGTCTCAAGAAATGGCATCTTTTATCATAGATCATTTTGCATGACACTTTGTAAAGATTTTGTTTCATGAAATATTTATAAAGACAAATATAGCTAAACACACAGACATATCGAACCAAAACCAGTTATATATGTGGATGCTCTGTGCATCTGAGTCTGTTTATTTTATGTGTGAGTAAAAACTGAACCCAACTCCCAGCAGTGCTAGGGGGGGTCTGAGACGCTGACTTCACAGGAGCGGGCTGCCTCATCCTCCCCTCCCCCTCCCCGAGAGCCTGGGGGTCTGAATCAGTGACCCTAGTCTTTTAATGCAGTTTTTTCATTAACTTTTTGAAGCACCTTAAGGTGTTTGTTTGTCTGTGTGTGTGTGTGTGTGTGTGTGTGTATATATATATACACACATATATATTCACACATGTACATATGTAGAGGTGTGTGGAGGATTGTAATATTAAATGTATGTCTCAACATTAGAGTTATGGTGGTGGGGGAACAATTTGAACAAGTTTTTCCCCCCAAGAGAACATGAAATGTAAAATTGGACATAATTTAGGAAGCTCTTTATAGTCTTTCAGTTCCAAAAAGTATGAAAAATTAGACCTAAAAATGTTTCTGCACTTAGGAACACTAAAAAAGGTGTTTGTATATAGACTATAAAACACATAGCTAAGATAGGCAGGATAAGCAACCTTGGAGACAGCCATGGGACCAATGGCTAAGGGTGAGGGGGAATGGGAGGCGGGGCTGAGCAGTGAGCCAGTAATGACGGGGACAGGGGAACAGCAAGGATACTAAAATGATGGTGAGGAGGGGTGTAGCATTCCTGGTCGTGTTTGATCAACTGAAATATATCCGAGAGGAATTTCCGAGAGGCAAACAATGGTTAAACATGCTAGTGGGGCAGGAAGAAAGAAGAAAAGGAAAGAATAAGATAGTAAAAATTATATTTATAGGTATAAGTATAGATATGTAAATATATAAAGATAGGTATATTTGTGTATGTGTGTGTGTGTGTGTGTGTGTATATATATATATATATAAATACAAGGAAGCAGATGGAGTTTGGGTCTCTCCTTAAATCTTGCCTCAGTACAAGAACAGCTTTTTCTGATAATGTGGTTCCCAACACGATTGCTGAAGACAAAATGGGTGCATAAGTAAATGTGGTGAACAAAGCTATTAAAAGATATAGTGTCTGGGGTCTTAAAGGCATCAGTTTAAACATGCGGCCATGTAGCAGAGAAGCAACAAAGCCCACCTGGAAGAAGCACACCAGCCTATGTGATCATGAAGTATTGATGGGAATAGGTGTCAGAAGTTCAAAAAAAGCAATCAGATTGATAAGAAGAAGTGTAGACAAAGAGGAGATCAAAAACCCACCTATAACATAATTGGACAGTCTCTCACAGAAGGGCCACATGGAAGGGATGATATATCCAGGCTGTAGTATAGCACTGATGAAACACATAACTATCCTCTAGCTTAGTGGGTCACAACCTGTGGGTTGTGACTCCTTTGGGGGTCAAAGGACCCTTTCACTGGGGTCGCCTAAGACCATCTGCAGGATGTTTTCTGATGGTCTTAGGAACTGAAACAGGCTCTGTCTGTCTCCAAGTGGGCCCGCCCCCGTGCAGATGTGCTGATCTGGTGAGAAAGAAGCTATCTCAACCTTCACACTGACATTGGTTTTTTATGCAGGCTGTTGCAAAATGCAACAATGTAGTTTACTGTTGTTATATTAAGACTGTTGCCCATGCTACAGCATGCTTCAAGACAAAATTTCATATATTTGTAATTAGAAATAAATTTTTCACAATATATAATTACATATTGTTTTTGTGATTAATCACTATGCTTTCATTATGTTCAATTTGTAATAGTGAAAAGACATCCTGCCTATCAGATATTTACATGACAATTCATAACAGTAGCAAAATGACAGTGAATTAGCAATGAAAGTAATTGTATGGTTGGGGGTCACCACCACATGAGGAACTGTATGAAAGGGTTGCAGCATTAGGAAGGTGGAGAACCACTGCTCTAGTTCATTAATATTTCCTCCCCTTAGTATCATGGTATTTGTTTTACCTCCTTCATCTTGTTAGCCCTGCGTATATTCATTTGTATAATTAAGATCATTTGAAGCATGAAAGTCAAGATAGATAACCCTTCAGAGATAATAACAAATAATAATTCCCTGAGGGTATGGGAAGAGGGGAACTGATAGCAATGATGACTGTATAACCCCACTGGAGGGGAATAAATAATAGAATTGCATGTGGACGGACACATTGTATGATATAAGATACAGCCCCCAAGTCAGAATAATTATATAGTGTAATAAGAAGGGTTCCTGAGGGGTAGGGTAGAGGAGGGAGAAGATAAAAGGATTCGGATATCAAAGAGTTCAAGAATAAAGAAAATGTTTTGAAACTGATGGTAGTAGCAATTGTACAATTATGCTTGATTTAATTGAATTACGGACTTATAATATTTGTAAGAGCTCCCAATAAGAGGATTAAGAATATGAGGCTGTACTTCTCTTCCAGCACACTAGTCTCCATAGTCACCTTATGCCATAATTACCCACCTGTGGTGTCACCAAAAGCGGTTTCCAATGACATTGGCAAAAAATCCTTAAATCTTTCCCAGTAAACAAAACTAGAAATCTACTGAATTATAGTCTTTTACCCTTTTTTTCAGGAAGTTCTATTGCAATTTGGGTGGTTTTCCTAGTTTTTTGTATGGTCTAAACAATTGATGTCTGCGATTTAAGAACAGGCATGTGCATTCCATACAAAATACCTAAGCCTTTAGTAATCATTATGTTGTAGAATTTATACAATTATATACTAATTTAAAAAACCTCCATAGTCAGGTTTAAATCAACAATAAAGCCTGTTTCACTCTAAAAAAGTGTAATTGTTTACTGGTGAATATCAAAGTGTACAGCCTCCAGTATGGATTAAGCCTTAACCAGAAGAAAACAAAAATCCTCACAACTGAACCAATGAACTGAACTCCGTCCTACATGGAGAAACTACTGACGTGGTCAAGGATTTCTTTTCACTTGTACCTGTGGATCATGTCCATGGAACAAGAGTTAGGAAATTGGACAATGTATTGTCCTAGGCAAATCTGATGCAAAAGGCGCAAGTGTTACAACAACAAAAAGGATGCCACTTTGGGGAGCAGTGGGCTAACTTAAGGTGCACCCAACTCTAACATGGTAATTTCAGTTGCCTCATGCGTGTGAAAGCTGGACAATGAATAAGGAAAAACACAGAATTGATAACATTTGAGTTACGGTTTTGGTAAAGAATACTGAATCTCTAAAAACCGACAGATTTTCCTTTCAAGAAGTACAACCAGAATAGAATGTTCCTTAGAAGGGCCGTTAGTCTTACACTTCCCACAACATGGTGGTTCTGAGTCTGCTCAGTCTTTAATTCCAACAGCATGCGATACGGCTTTGTCTCCCATACTTTCGACATATCGGATGGGCTCAATCCTGCAGAAGGACTTTATGTTGTTAAAATAGTGTGCAGCAAGGAGGAGGAGGAGCCTCAGTGAGGGAGACGGACGGAGTTACGACAGCACTGCGTTCAAGCAGCAAACCGTGTGAGACAGGACCAGGAAAGGGTTTGTTCTCCAGAGGGTCGCCATGAGTCAGCACTAACTTGATGGCACCTAAAAACAACAACAAATTAATCTTTATAACATAAGATACATACAATTACATCTTTAAAAAATCTTTAGAGCCAACTTTGAATCAATAATGCAATCTTCTAGTTCACTGAAAACAAGTTTAAAAATGAGGAATCTAACGCGTTAAAGGCAAGGGGACTAAGAGGAAATAAACTGTGGACTTGAAAAAGAACCAAATAGAAGTTCTGGAAACAAAAGTTTGATCATTGAAATGAAAAAGTTGTTCAGTGAGTTAAACTTTGATTAGACCCAACTAAAGAGAGAATGTTTGGACTAGGAAATGGCTTGTCAGACATTATCCAGAGTGCAGCAGAGATAAAGAAATTGAAAGCGATGTAGTGAAGTCGAGTTATGGAAAATGGAATGGAAGAGGTGCTTGATTTCTTTTGAGCCCTAGAAGAAATGACTAGAAATGATGGTTATAAGGACGAAGACGCAGAGTTAGAAACCCAGAAACCTGTAATTTGCAGATGGCACAATTTTTTTTTTTTTTTTAGATTTACAAATGCATTACTTTCCCTTCCTTTTTTAAAAAAAATCATTTTATTGGGGGCCTGTACAATGCTTATCATAATGCATACATCCATCCATTGTGTCAAGCACATTTACACATTTATTGCCATCATCATTCTCAACACATCTGCTTTCCACTCGAGCCCCTGGTATCAGCTCCTGATGTATAACCTTGCCTGCTGAAAGTGAGCAGGACTTGAAGCACCTGCTGATGAAGATTTAGGATTTCCGCCTTCAATATGAATTACAACTCCTCAAAGTGAGGAAGACCCAACTCCTCACAACTGCTCATGTTAAACAGAGAAAAGATCAAAGGCAACAAGGGTTTTATCTTGCTTGGATCCACCTTCAGTGCTCAAGAGATCAGAATATGCCTTCCACTGGATAAGTCTGCTGCACATGCCCTCTTTATAGTATTGAATTGCAAGGGTGTTGCTTTAAGAACTAAGGTGCGCCTGACTGGGCTATGGTATTTTTGATTGCATGATGTGCACACCCCATTGCCCCAGGAGGACGGATAACAGAAACCATCAGGAAAGGGACACAGCAGTCCGTGTAAGATATAAAAATAGTAATAATTTATAATTTATCAAGGGGGTCATAAGGGTGGGGGCAGGGAGGGAGGAAAGAAAGAGAAGCTGATACCAAGGGCTCAATAGAAAGTAAATGTTTAGAAAATGATGATGGCAATATCCGTAGGAATATGCTTGATGCAGCTGATGTATGGATTGTTATAAGAGTCTCCCTGAAGAGGGACTGATGGACTAGTATTGGACTTATGGACTGGTCTGGGATGTTTTCCTGATATATAATGGTTTCTTGATAAAAAGTTCGTACACATATATGAGTGCACTGGATTTTTTTCTCTTGTCTAACCTGCCTCACACAGCATGTCTGAAGACGTAATATCTTTTTCTGGTAAAGCAGGGTCACATCATGTGCGTGTGTACTACATGCTATTTATCCTGACTTCTTTTAATGGGCATTTAAGGCATCTATCTTTCGTTAATTGACATATGATTATTTGGACCAGTGTTTCCCAAAGTGAGCTCTCCTGTCCCCCAGGGGGGCACTGGAATGATCCACGGGGACTGCAAAAGCAGGTTATGCGGAATAACAAAAGGTTTTAATTGCTGGGGAAGCTGAGTATTTTTTTTCTAGCTTGGAGCAGTAGGCCAAATAAGTTTGGGAACCTATGATTTGAACCAAGATCACGGATGTCCTTTGAAAAAAAGTGCATTCTGAATGATACCTCAAAAAACCAAGCTAATCGCCAGCAGGTTGATTCTGACATGCTGTGTGACCTTATGGTTAGTGGTCCCGGTGCGCCTCCTACAGCACCACTGATGGTAGTGCGCCTCCTACAACACCACAGACGGCAATTGTCTGCGGAAGGGATGGGGTGAGAAACTGAAGCATACAGCAAGGCAGTGAAAAGCCAAAGCAGCCTTTAACTGTCGTCTCTCCACGTCGTGAAAGTGGTCATAATGCACTGTGCACTTACCTGCTTCAGACATGTCCTGTATTTTCATTCCTTCAGTAGCTGTCTGTTTCAGTCTTTAAAGACAAGGAGTTTACTTTTCTCTCCTGATGCAAAAATGAACACAGCATTGTTTTTAAAAAGGATTTATTAACTAAGCAATTGTCGGCACCACTTTATTGCCTTCCGCCAGATGGACCTTTCTGTACTTTTTCTTTTCTTACGTGGACACTTGAAAAAATATTTCCTCCATTTTTATCCCTGGTACTTTTCATGTTTTAAGTTTCTACCTTAATGACAGGATCCTGAAGTCACCAAAATAAAAGTGTTGTTTCTTTACGGTTTAGAGTAAAGCATTGAAAAGGCTGGTGAGCTTCTGAGGCATAAATCACTCTTGCTCAGTTCCTCTTTCGTTCTATCCCCAGGAGGAATATTGGAAAGCAGCAGTGCGAAGCCATCGTTGGTGCCCAGTGTGGCAATGCGGTGCTACGAGGAGCCCATGTCTACGTTCCAGGGATTGTGGCAGCTTCAAAATGTGAGTGTACTGCTTAGATTTCTCTGAAAAGCAAAGGTTCTTCAAAGTCTCTGTTCACTGTCCACTAGAGTCATCATTCAGAGATATTTCTGATTTACTTTTGTTAGATTTTTTTCAACTTTTACCTTTAGACTGGCCAGAGAGCGTTCTATCTGATACACACTGTTCAGCATTATGTAAGGTTTCCTGGCAATTTTTTTTAACTTTCTAATAAAGGTATGTGTACTGATATTTATTTAGTGAGTAATAGGGAGGGTAGAAGCTAGGTGGCACAGCTGCTAAGGATTCCCCTGTGAATCCAAAGGTTCCTGGTCGAAGGCACCAGCCGCTCTTTGGGAGGAAGGTGTGCACTGTTTCATGCAGAGTTGCAGCCTTGGAAACCCTGTGGAGCGGTTCTCCTGTGCCCTGTCTGTCTCTATGGATCGGACTGGACGCACTGGCGGCAGGCTTGGTGTCCGGTTTCAGGATGTCAGAGAGATTTTACTTGTACTCTTGACTGCACTGCCCTAGAACCTCAGGCTGCTGTTATCATTGGTGAGGATCAGAGTCAAAATCTGGGATCTTAACATCAGATCGAAACCTGAGGATCATACTTTTTTCACCTATTTTGTGGCATATTACCTACACCTAATAGATTAGCTCTTATAATTCACTGGTACTGTACTTGAAATCAAGAAATGTGGATTTAGACTTATTAAAAATCATTTAATCTCTGGTTATTAATTACCTTGCCAGTGAAAGAAGTCATTTGATTTACTCTCAAGGTTTAGAGGAGCCCTGGTAGCGTAGTGGTTACGTGTTTGGCTGCTAATCCCAAGGTCAGCAATTGAAAATCACTGACTTTTGACTCCTGTAAAGAGTTAATAGTCTGGACCCACAGGGGCAGTCCTACCCTGTTCTGTAGGGTCGGTCAACTTGGCATTGGCTTGATGGCAGTGAGTTTAGGGAGTAGAGATTTCATATACTACTGCCTGTTAGCAGTATGGCCCATAGTCTGTTTTGTATGATGTGTAAGCTAAGGTTTGTTGTTGTTGTTTTTAAGTTTTAAAAACTTGTGGGAAAATGCAAATAATAATAAGCAATAGAGCCACCGATGTGGTCCACAAAGGATAAAATATTTACTAGCCTCGAGAGAAAGTCAGCAGCAGACATATCTTCTGTTTGCAAAGCTTACTCTGCCCATCTGCCTGCCTGGTTAACTGACATCTGCTCACCAACGCTGGCACCTGGCCCCATTGGCGTTATCAGCACCAACCAGAGAGATGCATGGGATTCATCATGTCTACAAGCTTTATAGATGTCCCAAAGACATAAATACTCTGGAATTTCCTTTGTCTTCTCTCTCACTTGCCTCTCACCCTTGCTAATGACCTGAAACGCCTGTGGGTCTTTCTTGTGAACACCCTATACTTCATACAACTTCTCCCCAAACTCCTTGCTTGTCCATACCAGTAATGTCCACTCCTCCCACCTCCCCTCTCCCCAGTTCCCCTCCCACAGTCCCAATAAGCTAAGACATCGGACACCTCCCCCCTGCTGCCAGCACCGTCTCCACTTCTCACCTACTTGCGTTCAGCTCTCTCCAGCACAAAGACAGCTCCTCAAACCCAACCGATCCAGCCTCAAATCCTGCCCCTCTTTGTGAAGCCGCCGGAGCAGAGGGGCTAGTAAAGGTTCACAGCCCTTTTTCGTTAAGTGATTTGTCAGTTTTAGAGATATGTCGCAGTTCTTATACCTGGGACCCAGACACTTATATTACATAATTTAAATATCTCACTAAATCATATGATCCTACCTGGCATGACGTCTAAGACATAAGGCTGAATACCAAAAGATAGCAAGTGTCCTCCAGGGCAAAGTCGGTGTGTCTGACCCAGTTATCGGGCCATGCACCAGTGTGCCACCAGGACCCTGCTTCAAATGTTCCCATACAGGTTATATATGCCCTAATCTGCGACCTCTAAGAAGGCCATGTCCACATTGAACAGAAAGGTCACTGGGATAATGACTGCCCCACTCAACAGAGAGCAGGTGGGATAGTTTATCCCACTAGACCTCCTGAGCAACCTGCTCAAGATGCCTCGGTGCCAGAGCTGATTGGCTTGGCCATGGACACTGATGGTGCCCAGGGTTTAAAGCCCCATTGAAGATCACCCCTCTCGAGCCCAGGGTTCCTATCCTTGTCTCAGGTAAGCCCATTTCTTTCCTTTAAGACACAGGGACCACGTACTCATCCTTAACTGAACACGCAGGGAGAACTTCATTAGCATCCAACAGTACTGTAGGAGTCTCAGGTACAACTCCACAACCTAACACACCTGCACTGAAACTCTTGATCTATTTGCCACTTCACTGCCTCACACCTCTGCCTCACCTTACCCACTCCAGATGACACTGGTTCACAGACGGCAGTTCAACTCTCGTCTCGGTGTGTATCGAGCTGGCTATGCTATAGTTCGCTCCTCAGGTACTGTCGAGGCACGGCCCCTTCCCAACAGCACTGCCTCTCAAAAAGCAGAGCTTACTGCTACGACACGAGCCTCAACCTTAGCCACGGACCAGAGGGTAGATATTTACTCAGACTCGAAATACTGTTTTCATATTTTACATTCACATGCCGCTGTATGGCAGGAAAGAAGATACACGATGACCAAAGGAAGGCCAATCACAAACGGCAACCAAACTCAACAGCTTCCACAGGCTGCTCTACTTCCACAACAGGCAGCTGGTCTTCACTGCGAGGGACACCAACATTCCAAGGATCCCACAACAGGGCAGAAACTGCAGCCAAGAGAGCCGCCCTAAGGACCACACACAACTTACAACTAGTAGCCGTCCCTCCTATCTGGCCTCAGTACTCTCCTGTAGAGAAACAGGACCTCCTTTCAAAGGGGCCAGATTCAAAGATGGATGGATCATAACGGAAGGCTGGATGTGTCTTACCTGAAACAAGCACTGTCCGTCCTAACGGATGTGTATGACACTCTACAAGATGGGACTGATAAAACCTATCTTTTTTCACCCACGCCTATCCACATTGCTCCAGCAGATCACACAAAGATGTACTATTCGTTCCTTAACATCGTCTCAGGGAGGAATTAATTCATTGCCGCACATTTCCCACCCACCAGGCTAGAGGACGTGTCCCTGGACAAGACTGGCACACACATGCCTCCTCATAACAGTGCCAAACACCTGCTCCCAATGGTGGACACTTCCTCAGGACGGGTGGAAGCATTTCCTTCTACCTCAGTTGGGCAAAGCAAGTCACCCAGGTGCTCGTAGATGAAATCCTTCCTCGTTTTGGCTTGCCAGACTCCCTACAATCAGTGGTCCGGCCCTCATCTCACCAGGAACCTAGCCTACAGCTGAGGCTCTCAAGGTAAAAGGGAATCTACACATACCTTACCACGGCCAATCATCAGGAAAAGAAGGAAAGGCCAACCACATCCTTAAATCTCACTTGTCGAGACTCTCTTAAACCTCACTCAGCTCTTACCTCTTGCCCTTAAGCATGTAAGAGCCACACCACACCTCGCAAACCTCTCCTTCTCAGTCTATTCGTGTTAATGTACAGCAGACCCTTCCTTTTAGGAAACTCTGCTTCTTCATCACCTCTGTTAGGGGACGACATCCCTACTCTGAACCTCGTCAGACATGTTCTCGGGACACAAGCGAACATGCACTTACCTCAACTGTATCCCACCAAGAAGTATATTTTTTTCAGTCTCCCTGGGGCAACAAGTATTTCTAAAATCAAGACAGCCCAGTCCCCTGGCACCTAAATGTGAAGGGCCATACACGGTCCTTCTAACTACCCCCACAGCTTTCAGGAAATTGTCAGGAAAACCTTTCTGTGATCAAACCTTTCCCTCCTAAACTTCTCCTCATCTAATCCATCTAGTGCGAAAATTAACCAATCCGTGGATTCCTATTCCTCCCAGATACTCGGACTCACAAAGCTCAAATGATCTCATAAGTTCTTTCCGACTACCAGAGAGCACTGTAAACTTGATTATGCTGGATTGAACTTGAAACTTGGTCAGTTGACCTTCCTCTTGACCCAACCTGAATTTGTTCTAGGCTCAAGTATTTCTTGTTTGTTCCATGACAAAAAGTTCTTCCCTGGCTTTTTAAAATATTGACGGTAGTCTTTTCTTTCTTACCCATTATTTGGATTTTTATCTTTATATTATTATTCTATCCTTACCACATTATTTGTTTTTTTATTGTTTCTGTTGGGTTTCCCAGTTTGCGAAGCACAGAAGGAGTAGACGCATAGCGATAACAACTAGAGCAAGGGTTTATAGGAGATGTAGTGGTTGGGGGTGGGGGAGAAGGAAGGCGAGGGGGTCTGGGGAGCAAACAGTGAATGCTGGAGGAGGGAGGCAGCCACTAGAACTGCTTGTGATACAACTTATTTTAAAAGTGATTGAAGCACTGAAGTATATGCGATGTGAATACTATACCAAGAAAACCATGAACAAACAAAACTTGATCAATGGCTACCCTAGGTGAGGGGGCATTGAGTGGAGAATAATATGGAAAAGGCCGTCTGTAGTGGCTGTAGAGTATGAAGAGGAAAATCAAAGACACTGAGTTATACAAGTAGTAGTTGTGGAATTGGAGAATGTTCTGTTGGGTATACTTTTGCCACAATGAGAAAAAATAATAATAATTACACGAATAGCAATGACTACACGGAAGAAGAAAAGGTTCTAGAATTGAATACGGGGACAGTTGCACAACTTTTCCTGATACGATTGGATTTCTGAATATTATGACGTGGATAAAGTGCTGGTAAAACTTAAAAAAAAATTTTTAATGTTGGATTTTTTCCCATAAACTTTTTGAAGCTCCCTTGCATATATATATAAATTATGAATGTTTATGTTTGTTAAAATTGTTATGTTAACCACCACCTGCAAAGAAATAACAGCAGGGTTAAAATATTTGGAAAAGTTTTTTGGAGAGGAATTTTTGTAAAGGAAATCTAGTCCTTTGTGGGTTGCATTAAAGGTAAGATTGATAAGATCTCTCCGGGAACATTAGATTTGGGGGAAATGATTGAAATGCAAGATACCTTTCACTTTCCGCTCAGCTGAAGACTTGAGCTAGGATGATTTGAAGTCTATTCTATTTCTTTTTTCCCCTGAAAAAACAAACAACAACAAATTCTTCAGTTAGATCTATTGTGGGGAAAAATTGAAGGTAAAAAATCAGATTTCCTGTGACAGTGAACTGTTCATACCTACCGTTGACTGTCAAATTCTGTCGCAAAGTATAGATTTGCACCAAATTCACACCCAAACAGAGAACAGTCTAATCTAATGTTCTTCTTTTTCCAGTTATGAAAGCTGGAGATACTGTTTCTGTCTACTCTGATATTAAAGGAAGATGTAAGCGAGGAGCCAAAGAATTTGATGGACCCAAAGTGTTTCTTGGAAATGGGATTTCTGAATTCAGCCGCAGTGAACTCTTCAGTGGGCTGCCTGAACTGAAGTATGCCATCAAGAGTTGGGTGTGGGGAATAACTGTTCTTATTTTGGTTCAAAGAAGTTAAAGGAATTTAGATAGATAGATAGATAGATAGATGCATTTTTACTAATAACACTTTTTTGGTGTACATTCAACTGGTAAAATACTGTTTAACACATGTTTCCAGGGTTTTGGGGGAAAATGTTTTTAGGTAAAAGACAAAACATGGTCCAAGGGAAGAACCCAAGTAAGGTAATTATATTCACACTGTAATTGTTAAAAAATTTCCTTTTCCTTTTAAATTTCATTGATTTGGATATTTTTATATCTTTCAGTAGTATTTAGAGAATCTTGATAGAGAATGAATTTCATGATCTTTCCAGATCTTTTCTAACATTCTCAATTTGTGAAAGAACAAACTTACAGTTTCAATATAAATTAACATTAAGAAATTATAAATTAATTTAGCCAGACACAACATCCACCCGAATATATTTATGGATAAAATTGTGCATTTGAATTTGTTCAAAGAGAGTTAAAAGATATGCACTCAAATCACTGCGATTGAATCGATTCCAACTCATTGACCTTGCTGGACAGGGTAGAATTGCCCCTGTGGTTTCTAAGACTAAATCTTTACAGTAGTAGAAAGCCTTATCTTTTCACCATGATGCAGCTTGTGGTTTTGAACTGCTGACTCTGCCATTAGCAGCCACTACACCAGTAGGGCTCCTAAATTACAATATAGTTAGTTCTAAATCATCTCTCCTTGTTAGTGAACTAAACCTATGGGCAAGGCGATACTTCTCTTAGATTTTTCAGCCTGTTCTAGGAGTTCTTTTGGACAGCTCCATTATGCCAAAGTTGGTTGCTCACATAGGCTTGCTGAAAGCTGTGGATTTACCCATGAATTTACTGAACCACATCAGTGATTCCTAGAATCAGGTTGCAGCAATTTGGGTTTCCAGTTGAAGTTAATTTAGGTGTAATTTCCAACTGGCTAAAATAAGAGGCCCTGGTAGCACAATGAGTAAGCACTCAGCTGCTAAGGAAAAGATCAGCTGACGTGGAGATCAAGTCTAGAAAAGCTTGTGGGGCAGTTAGTTCTGCTCATGAGTTGAAATGGACACCCGGCATCTAACAACAGAAGACTATAAGTATACGAAGAAAAGATCCCAGGAGGCTATAAAAAGTGCCGGAAAAGTTTCCTTTGCATTTAATTTTCTTCACTGAACTTTTTGAAAGCCTTTCCTATACGCATTTGTCTTTTGTCTGTGGGTCCCTAACAGAAAATGGTTTCCCGGTTGTCTCTCTCAGTTGATTGTCAGTGGTTCATCTTTATGCTGTTGTCTTACTTGGTGTGCTACTCTGTCCGGTACTCTGTCTCTGCGGGGACAGACCTTCCTGAATCCTGCTTCTTTGCTGATGACAGTAGAAGGCAGCCCCTTCAAAAACAGAAACACAGCTGTTGGTTTTAACTTATTTTATTCAGTTCTTTGATCATTTTAGTCTCTTCCTTTGTAGAAAAAGGATGCTTCCATAACAAGGAACTGACTCCTGGTATACACTCTTTCTTATTTATGCTCTTAAAAAATTTTAATGCCAGCACTCGTTATTCAATTATTGGCATTGCAACCTTTTGGTTTTTTTTTAATCATTTTATTAGGGGCTCATACAACTCTTATCGCAATCCATACATACATCAATGTGTAGTGCACATTTGTACATTCATTGCCCTCATCATTCTCAAAACATTTGCTTTCCACCTAAGCCCCTGGCATCAGTTCTTCATTTTGTCCCCTCCCTCCCTGCTCCCCTCTCCCTCACGAACCCTTGATAATTTATAAATAATTATTTTGTCATATCTTGCCCTGTCCGATGTCTCCCTTCACCCACTTTTCTGTTGTCCGTCCCCCAGGGAGGAGGTCACATGTAGATCCTGGTAATCGGTTCCCCCTTTCCAACCACAACCTCTTGTTTGTTTGTTTTTTCTCTTGTTTTTTTAAAATTCAAAGTGGATCGAATCCTTCCTAGTGTCATAGAAGTAGATTAATTTACCAACAGATTGTTTAATGATAAGAGATCTGATACATTTTTACATGGAGATACTATTGCACTACAAAAAAGCAAAACAAGAAAAACCCTATGTGATCCCATAGCTGAACAACAATTAGCTTAAATGATCTTCCCTAGGTGTGAAGTCAGATACTCTAAAGATGGATGCAAAGGTACTGGTCTGCATGGTCACAAAAGAATAGTTAAAGTGAGATGAGAACTTCAAGCACTAGGTCGGGCAAATTAAATGTTAAAGCTTTAGTCTGTTTTGAATGACTGAAGACTGGAAAGTCAGAAAGTTGTTAAAATTACAAAGAATGACCAGGTCTTGGAATCCAAGCCATTCAATAATAGGTCTAGATTCTAGGCAGGATGTGAGCTATTGATCATTGTAAAAGCACAAGGTGTCTCAACACAAGATTGACTTTTGAATATGACACTGTGACATTTCAGAAGATTCCTTGTTGTATTTTTTGCAGGGACGATGGGTAGGGAGGAAGTGTGTTAGGCCAGGTTGACTACAGAAACAAATCCAGCGACACTCATGTATTTGTAAGAAAGAGCTTTATATCAAGAATTATGTATCAAGAAAACATGCCAGCCCAGTCCAACTCAAGTCCATATGTCCCTCTTCAGACTCATTCAGCCACGTGCAATGATGCCGAATGCAGGGAGATCTCAGATTGATGGGTGCAGAGTCATGTGGATCCAATGGCAGTGGATGCATCACAGGACTCTAGCCACCATCAGGGTCCACCATCAGGAAGGTGAAGGCAGAGAGAGAGAGAAGGGTGTGGGGAGGTGGGAGGAGAGGGAGGAGTTGAGTTCCTAGGGATCTCCTTAGGAGAAGGCATGTCCACAAGGACTCACCTTCAGGCTGTGACCTGATTGGCAGGTTGGGTTTTATATGTCATATATGTGTGTGTGTGTGTGTGTGTGTGTGTGTGTGTGTATGCATATACATATTTATCTTCAAGTTGGTGTGTGTAACCACCACTGGAAGTAAGAACGGCATGGGGAGTGAATGCAGTGGCTTGGCTTGATCTTCTGGGGTGGTGGGGAGGGAGGAAAGCCAGGAGAGCGCAAGGCCCAACTTGATTTTAAAATAGGGTGCATACCCAGGTGAGAAGGTAAAGCTGATAGGGAGAGGGGGGAGATAAGTTAACATCAATTGTGTATGAAAGGATGAGGTCACTGTTCCACTGAGGGGAGCTCACAGGCACACCATCGTAGTGTACTAATATGTACAGAAGTTGTTTCACTCTAATTTGCCGTGCCTACACAAGTAAGATACAGATCATCTGTACCGATACTTCTCTGCTAAGACCAGTTCCTAAGCTAGCTGGATTTTCTGTGAACTTGTCTGCCATACTGTGTCTGAGGACTCTCTTCTTTGCTTGTATCTTCTACCTGGTCTAAGCCCTGCTTCTTATCTTGCCCTTCATAATTAGATTGCACTTTTCTCCGCTCGGATCTCCAACCCCTGCCCCTGTCCCCGTTTCCTTTTCATTTTTGCTTCCTTTGGTTTGATCTTTTATGCCACCAGCCCAGGTGGGACTTTCTCTAATACTCTGTGTATGCTTTCTGTCCCCTGTGCCGGGGTCTCTGACACCCTCTCTCAGATTGACCTTTTTGCCATCTTGACCCTGGGTCCTCTTGTCCAAAGGGTCATCTAAAGCTCTTGTAGGTACCTAGGAATTAGTCTGGAGCAGTTATTCTATGAAGCCATTGGAGGAGAACACTAGATTTTTGTCAATGCTTAGCATCAGCATGACGTGAAGTGTTTTTTTCGGTTTTCTTACAAGTGGCTTGAAAACTGACACATTCACAGAGCAGTCACTGAATTAAAAAGCTAATCACAGTAATCATAGGTATGTTACCAGCTAGAGTAGAATGAATCATAATAAAAATACTCAGCTGTTCTTTGTCCCCCCCCCTTTTTTCTTGCCTTTTTGAATCTATTCAAATTTCCAAAGAAACCTAATGAAACATTTATGTAACTTTATCCTTCTCAGTTATCCGCCTGGTCTCTTAGAGTACTGCACATAAACATTCAAAGCAATTCACGTGTATTTTAGGTATTTGGGTGTTGAGTAAAAGAAGTTTGAAAAGGCAGGAGTCCTTGGACTTGCCCTGTTGACTCTGCTCTTAGAACCGCAGCTCCACCACTTGAGCTGCCTGCTTCTTGGACTGATGTTGCCTCCTCCTTTCAGGGGCACAGGCATAAGGATGACAGAACCAGTGTACCTCAGCCCTTCCTTCGACCGTGTCCTGCCCAAGTACTTGTTTTTACAGGTACGTATTGACGAAAGTAAACTATTTAGTACCCTTAAAAAATCCTTCAGAGCATTATTGAAAATCTAAGGTTGCATGTTTCATTTTTCATTTCTAATAACGTGTGCTTATAGTCTGATACCCGCCCCGCCCCGCCCCACCCTGCAATCTACCCTGGATCCAGGAGTATGAAACAAAACCTACTACTTCTTGTTTTCTTCTCTATTCAACTGATTTTCAGTTTTCTACCCACTTTTGCCCAAGAATGATTTGACTGTAACTTCTACTAACTGCTGTTTTTGAATCTAAGAATATTTAAGTTGCAAAGTAATGTATACCTTTGGTAATTGGCATACCTGTACGTGTTCTTTGATGACTTTACAGAAGAATCCAATGGTTTCTTAGGAGCAGTTTTTGGCAGGTGGTTATCAATTTGATGATGGTTTGTTTTACCCGGGACCTTGTTTACCTGTGGACTAAGCACTTCATGGACATTAGGGAGCTCAGGAGACATGCTGGGGTGCCAAGTGTCCAGACCTACCCAGGGGTCCTCAAACTTTTGAAACAGGGGGCCAGTTCACTGTCCCTCAGACCCATTGGAGGGCCAGACTATAGTTTAAAAAAAAACTATGAACAAATTCCTATTCACACTGCACATATCTTTTTTTGAAGCAAAAAAGCAAATGGGGCAAAAACACCTGGTGGGCTGGATAAATGTCCTTGGCGGGCCACATGTGGCCCGCGGGCTGTAGTTTGAGGACCCCTGCTTAGACACTCCACGAGGAAAGATGTGTTGCCTCAGAAACCCAGAGAGGCAGTCGGACCCTGTCCTGTGTAGGCTTACGATGAGGTGGAATTGACTTGCTGGCGTGCGTTTGTTACTTTAGTCCTGGATGCTAACTCCCTTGGTCACTGTTAGGCTGCTGGCTAGGTGTGGTGGTTGCTGCTGTTGTTATTATTATTTGTCCTGATGGAAGGGGGAGTTACAAAGCCTGTGCTCAGCAGAGCCGTATCAGGTAACTCAGCGCACCACACCAACCTTGTTAGGGCACTGTGAAGTAAATCCAGGTTTTATTTGGATTTCACTTTTTTTCTTTCTTCTCCCGAATCCCCTTCTTTGTTGTGTGGGGATCAAATCCAGGATGACACTTTGGATGATAGTTTCTCAGTCTTTCCTCTTGTTTTCAAGACCTGACAGTTTTGAGATGAAGGCATTTTACAGAATGCCCTTCCTGGGGCTCTGTCGGATGTTTCCCTTTTGTTTAGACGGTGGGGTTATTGTGTCCCGGGAAGAAGAAGAAAATGAAATGTCCATTTCAGGGACCCTATCATGCGGTGGGGGTAGCTCCTTCAGGACTGATGCAGAAGGTACGGAGGGGGTCAGGGAATTTTTTGTTTGCTTGTACATTTTAACTGTTGCAGAATGTTCTGATATGCACCCAGGTACCACAAATCAGGGAATGCTAACTTTTGGGAAGCCCCCCTGGGAAGCCCCCCCC